CTGCCAGGGCCCTTTCGGCCGCCAGGCTCCGCCGCCTCGGCCGCCACCAGCGCCGCCATCGCCGGTCTGCCCACGCGGGGACCAAAAAGACAGCTCTAGAGGAACCCCGAGAGCGCAGACATTAGCGATCGCTCGCCGAGCGGCCTGGAAGGGCGGGGACTTGCTGGGCGGGAACCGGGAAGGAGAAGAAAGGGGCGGGGCTCCTGCGGGCCGCTCTCAGCCCGCAAGGTCGGCACTCGCGAGCGCCCCTAGTGGCCGCGGCCCGCAGCGGCGGCGCTCTCCGCGCGCCCCTCTGCCCTCCCGCCCGCTGACCCGAGCCTGGCACTCCCAGAGCAGAGCTCCCTGATCTGCCCACTCCCTGCACGACTTCTGCGGGCCGAGTCCTGAGAATGGGGACACCAGCAGGTCTTCCTTCTGCTCCCCTCCCTGTCTCCCCTCCTGCTAAAAGCAGTGGACGCGTGTGGGTGGGACCAACATTCCCTATCTCGGAGGACCTCACTGCCCCACAGGACAGAGCTCCGTGCCAGGCTCCAAACTGAGCCTTGGTGCCGATTTCTGGAGCGCCGGGGTGCTCTTACCACCTTGAGAACACACCGTGTGGAAGATTCACGTGAGAAAAAATGCTCCCAGGAGAAGGTCCTGAGCCTGAGGGTACTTTCCCGTGAGGATGGGGCAGTCCAAGGACTCGGATCCCCTAAACCTGGGTTCTGGCCAACGTTTTCCCTGCCTAGGCTGCCCCTTAGGCCTATGGTAGGCTTTCTCCCGCTCAGTGGCCTAAGGTCCTGGGATCCCAGAGGGGAGGCAGAGCAGCTAGTGAGACAGCGGTGGACCTTTGAAAGAGCAAAGTACCTTCAGGACTGGCCTTCAGCAAGGTCTGCCCCAGAGAGCAGTAGTTCCCTAGGGCCGTTTGCCCACCCAGCCTTCTGGCACCATCTTCCCCTCTCTGCAGTGGTGATGTGAGCACAGCTGGCCCTTTAAGGCAGCTCTGTGGCCTCAGGCTCCCCTGGAGGCCCTCCCAGCTTGGAAACTCCTAATTAAGGTGCAGAGAGAAGTGAAAAACAAGTAGCCTGGGACTGGCCCTGCCTGGGAGGCTGCCCAGGGAGAAGGGATGGCTGGGCAGGCTGGGAGAGAGCAGCCAAGGGGAGGACCAGCAGGGGCCAACGCTCTGCCCCTCTGGCCACCGACTCATGCTCCTACGACAATCTCAACTTTGAGCAGGAATGTGACCACCATGGGTCCCAAGAACACACCTCTCACCTTGATGAGAGTCCAGCCTGAACTTTCCCATCTTCCCCAGTTTCTCTGGATCCCCAGGGAACAGGATGTCAATTCTAGGGATCCCCTGAGTCCAGCTTCTTCCCCTTCATAACTCTAAGATCCAGCCTGTGGGCAGCTCTAGTTTTGACTGCAGCTTTAAGTTCCAAGGGGGAAAAGACTGGCTTCAGCAGAGCAGTGGCTTCTCCCTAGCAGGCACCCTGCCTGCCCCTTAGGGCTTTTTCTGAGGTAGAACTGGGGCCTGTTGATAACGGAAGGCCCCCATCTTATAACATTGCCCCATAGCCTCTGTGCTGAATGAGCTGCCCCAGCCCTGACTAGGAAACCAGGTCAAGTCCAGGACAACTAGACATCAAGGGCAGATGTGAGCATGTCCCCCAAGATCCTGCAGTGCAAAACATTGGGGGCTGCCATGCAACTTGGTCCACGAACACCTCCATCTGTCTGTGGGGGTCTCCCTGCATGAGTTACTCAGCAGTCTGAGTAATTACTGCCTGATGAGAAGGCGGGCACAGTGCGCACCCGCATTATACCACAACACCCGCCTACAGTCACCCCCACCCCTGGCTGGACTCCAAAGCAGCACCCAGCCCTCCTGAGGCTGAAATAACTCCGCTTCTCACACTCACGCCCAGCTCCAGCCAACTTTGTCTAAGATGCTGGAGTTTGTGGGGCAGGGGTTCATGGGGAGGCGGCTTGGGGAGGTGGCAGGAGGAGTCACACACCGTGATTCGGGCTGACAGTTTGGTCCTGATCTGTTTTATGAGACTGAGGAAGTTGTTCAACCTCCCTGGGCCTCACTTTACCTGTGAAGGGCCCCTGCAAATTCTCAGTGCCATTGAGTTCAGCTATAGTATCAACCTGGCAGGGCTCAGGCAGGGTGTGGGGTCAGCCAGCCCTGCAGCTGGTTGAGGCTAAGAGAAAGAATGCCTCACCTTCTGTTCCCACCCCAACGTGGACCAATCTTCGTAAACCTCAGAACAAGGTTACTTTCTCACCTCCAAGCATTTGCATGTTCTCTCCTGCCTGGAATAGCCTTTCTCCTTTTCAGCCTGTTGAACACAACAGACCCCAAGACTTAACCCAGATGGCACCTCTTCTGTGAAGCCTTCCTGATGGCCCCTCGCTCCTCTACAGAGCCAGCAGAGACCTCTCCCACACTTTGTGTCTCCTTCTGTAACATTCAAAGACAGACTGTGGATCTGTCTTCCCCAAGCTTCTGGAAATCCAAGCCTGTATAGTTAGCTCACACCCTAGCTTCAGCGCCATGGAATTCATGCATGAGTGAATGAATGATACTGGCCTTTTTGACCTTCCTATCATGCCAGGTTTTTCTCCAACAATTCACACCACTCATTCTCTCACTTCAATCAGATCTCTGCTTAGGCGTCTTTGCTCCAAGAGCTTTCCCTGACCCCTCCTTTCAGCTCCAGAATAAATACCATTTGCTTTTCTTCCAAGCACCATCTCATCTAGACTTTCCTCATTAGGCCCCTATTAGACTGTAAACTCCACAAAGGCAGGGACCTTATTTTTTTCACTGGCTGAAATCCCAAGAATAGTAGCGCCCCACACAGGATAGACCCTCAATAAATGTATGTTGAAGGAGTGACTTAGCCCACTGCTTTCCTTCTGCCAGGACCCCTCTCATCCCAGGCCGGTAGGGGGTGCCGGCCTCCGCCCAGGATCTTGGCTAGCCTGAGCCCTCTCCATGCTCAGCCCAAACTGCCCCCCACGGGACCTACTTTGAGGCGGTGCCTCTCCCATTTTCTACAAAGCCCCGGGGGCGGGGTCTGTGTAGACCAAGGGAAACCAGAGGGGCCCCTAGGTGGGGATAGCCCACTTGAGTCTCACATTCGTTCTTCCCTTTCTCTAGGGTTTGCAACTGGGCCTCTGAGAATGCTTGCTACCAGGTCTAGAGCAGCCACACCTCCTCCCCAAAAGAACAGTGTCCTGGACGCGGCGTGCGAGGCGGCGGGGTCTGTCGGAGCTGTCCTGGGCTGGGAGGAGCCGTCGAGCCTCCTAGGAGGAAAGAGCAGCGGACCAAAGAGGGGATGGACAGGGGTGCAGACTTGTGACCGCGGGCTCTGGGCGGCGGTCGTCTCGCTCCAGCCGGTCGACTGAGCGCACGCTTCCAGCCGCCTGGCTGGGTGACCTCCATCCGCGAAGGGCGAACGGGCGGGGGTTGGGCTGCGGTACGAGCTTTGGGGAGCCGACGGGGACGGGAGGGGCTTTTCGAATGGCCCCACGATCCGCCCGGGGTCTGGGGCAGGTACTTGGACGGACAGGGGTGGAGCGTCGTCCCCGGGGGAGGGCGCAACGAAAACACCTTGGGAGGCGGCGCCGCGCGGCTGAGCGCTGCTGCCCTGGGAATAGGACGGCGCTCGGCACCGCGAGCTGAGAGCACTTTCATAAATTTTGTATGGGAGGCGCTCCAGGAGCGGGGGCGGGGAGCGGAGCGAGGGGGAGGGAGCGAGCGAGCGAGGGAGGAAGTGAGGGAGGAGGAAAGGTGGGGGAAGCCGGGGGGGAGGAAGGGAGGCGCCCCGCGCCGCGCTTCGCTCGGTCCTGCAAACGCGCGCCGGGCGCTTACCCTGGAACTCCGCGTCGCGCGCGAGCGTCCTTCTGCAGCAGCCGCGGCGGCGGCCCGAGGGGGCGGAAAGGAGGGGGCCGCGGCCTGGGGGCTGTGTCCCCCCTCAAAACCGCCTGCAAAGTGCTCTGGGCTGCAGAAGCAGGCCGCCGGCTTCGCGGAGCAAGCTGCTTGTCCCGGGGCTGAGCGAGCGCGCGGGGCTGCCGGTCAGCGCCGCGGTTGCTGGTGGGCTCCGGTGCCCTCTGCGCGGGGTTCGGGCTCACCATGCCCCTGCGGGGCCGGGCCGCCGGGCACAAGCGGATCCCCGGCTTGCCCCCGCCTCGACGCGCTCGGATTAGCTGCAGCCAGCGCCCAAGCATTTGAATCCGGACCCCGGAGGGAGCGCGTCTAGGCCGACCTCGGAGTGGCGGCCCCGCGGCCAACATGCTTCGCAAAGGTGAGTTGGAGCCGCAGGGGCAAGTTGGAGTTGGATGCGCACGGGGCAGAGCAGCGAGCCTGGGAGCTGCCCGAAAGATGCCTGGAGCCGCGGCTCCGGCCCGGGAAGGAGCCCCTGGCGAGCTGGCGGGCTTTGCCGGTACGCACCGCGGAGGGGTTGTTGCTGGAGCTCAGCCCGGGTCCGTGGCCCGTTGGGAGACACAGGATTTACCCCATGGATCAAGCGACCAGGCCTAGGGATCAGGCTCGGCGAGGTCATTTCGAGACCATGGTGAGCTGTCCATGATAGAAGGGGAGCTGGCCTCCTGGGACCTTTGCTTTGCCATTACAAAGTTTTGCACTTGCAGGCTCCGTCCCCTGCGCGGGCACACGTCGCCGGCTTCTGCCGCTTTGTTGGGCCCGGGTCCAGCCCGCGCTCCAGTGCAGCCTTCGGTCAGTGCCCGCGCAGCCCAGGCGCTCACTGCGCGCCCTAGCTTCCCAGGTGGGGCCCGGAGGCGGGCACTTTGCCTGCAGCCCGGCTTTGGTCTTCAGGGGCGGGCTCCGGGCACCCAGCGCTGGAGAGGGATAGCTAGCGCCCAGTGTCCGGTTCCTTAAACTTTCCCTGCGCCTGGAGCGGAGGGATGCGAAGGCGGAGGCTGTGCCGGCTGCGTGCGCGCGCTGTGCCGGGCTCAGCTGGAGGTCTGGCCCTGTGACCACCTCTCCGCGACCCTCTGGCAGACTCGCTCATTGCCTGGCGCGGCGAAGTTGGCGCCGGCGCTGGGGAAGTTCCGCCGCGCCCCCACGTGGCGGCCGCGCGGGGAGCGGTCCCCGGGGCCCAGGGAGGGCAGGTGACCAAACCGAGAGTCCGCGGGCCCCACCACCCGCTGCCCCGACCTCTGCGTCAGGTCCTCTCGTCTCCCAAGTCCGGGTGGGCTGCGGCACCCCGCCGGTACCCGCCCCCCACACCCCGGTCCCTGGCCCGCGCCGGGCAGCGGACTAGCGGCGGCGCCTGCGGCGGACAGTCCGGGTCCTGCGGAAACCGGCTGAGGCGCGAGCCCAGGTAGCGGAGGGGCCTGATCCCTGCGCTCCGCGCTCCAGCCTTAATCCGCCCTTGTTTCCATGGCAACAGACCGAGGTGTCGTAAGCACGGGATTCTGACCTCACAGTAGGATGGAGTAGGAGAAAACGGGCAGGGGGAGGTGGCGGAGGCCTGGGAAGCGAAGCCCCAAGGCGGGCGGAGAGGAGCGGAGGTGGGGGTGATGAAAGAGACCCCATAAGCGGGTCGGACAGGTGGGTCAAGAAACCGTGCCCTCGCTGGGAGCGGTAAAGGCTGTGTGCTGGTCCCCACTCGCTCAGGCCGACCCAGGACCCCGGGTCACCCTGACATGTCATTACTCACAAACTTGTGTGTGACTTGTGCCCTCCACGTGGGTCGGCGCAGTGTCTTCCACTGTGGTGTGGGAAAAGTCTCCTTGGCTGGTCGGAGAAACCACTTCACTGGTACACCCCAGTTCCTTGTCCCTGCAGAAAGGAATGAAGTGTCCTTTCAGCAACCAGTGTGCTGGCCCCAGTGCCTCTGCGCAGAGAGAGTGCTTTTTTCCAGAGTTGAGCACAGGCCCAGATCTGAGAAGCCTGGGCCTGGAGCATGTAAATGTGCCCCAGAGGGGAAGGCTTCCCAGGCAGTTTTAAGAGGCCACCCTGTCTGGCTGCAGGTCTGGGATGGAGACAGTAGAGAGGACTTCACATCCCATTTTCCTTTTGGCCTTTTGTGTTTTGGCAGTTTGCAGTTAGAAACAAGCCATGAAGCAGCCCACACTCTTTGTTTAGAATGGTTTAGGTGCCTAGGAAAGCGTGAGCAGCCTCCAGGAGCCTTTCTCTCCCCTCTTTGCTAACCAGAGGCCCCAACTGGGAGGAGCCCAGTGCATTCTGGGGGCGGATCCCTGGGGGAGGCTCATACCCTGCTCAAGAGGTGGCCCTGGAGGCTTGGCAGTCCCTGTGTGTTTCCTGCTAGACCTGTTTTTCCTTTCCTGTACCACTTGGTCGATGGGAAATCTACCAACAAAGAGGTTTCCACCTGGATTGGTCTGAGGGAAATAGAGGAGAGAAGACACTGTTCTGTGGCCTGGAGCCTGCTGCTGGGACATTGTGTGGACAAAGGACTTTTAGTTTGGTTCTTTCCTGGGCAATTTTCTCCCTTGGCCCCAGACCTGATCCCTAGAACTTGTCTGTTTTACACACTTGCGGGACACTCAGATTTTCTGTGTGGGTACTAGGTATGTGCCCAGAGCCAAAGATGTGCTTGAGGCTAATGTCAAGGGAGGTGGCCATTGAAGTTTCTGCTTCTGGAATTGTTCCTAAAGGCTTCAATAAAAAATGTTATAGGGTGGGTTGCAGTTTCCCTGCCTATCTGCTGGAGAGCCCCGCATGGAGTCCTGGCCCTGAGGAGTTTCATAGTTCAATTATGATTTGGAAAAGGGTTTGAAAGATAAAAACACACACACACGTGCACACACACAAAAAAACAAACAACAAAAGTAGTCTTCCCTAGGTCCTGGGGCAAGAGGAGAAGGGACGAAAACCTTACCTTTCTGCAAAGCGTAGGGCTCGTGGTCTTGATAATGGGGTGCTTTGTGGAGTTAGGAGGTTCAGAGGTCTGAAGCCTCAGAGGAGGAGGAAGGTGAGAGGAGTTATTGGACCACGCAAGTTATCTCTCTGACAGTGAGCGGGGTGCTGTCTCCTGGCAGGGCATTTTAGGGGGTGCTGCCTTGCCTCTCTTAATGAACGATTCTACTGGGCACAGCCCTACCTCGGTGAACCAGAACAGCCCTGAGTGCTCAGTGGATCTTGCTGCTGACAGTGCTGCTAGCTGAAGGCTTCTGCAGCTGCCCTGCCAGCTTTCCCATATCCTGACCTACCCTGGTAGAACCAGGGATATAAAAAGCAAACCTCTGGTCAGAGATGAGAGGCGGGCAGAGCAAGTGAGGCCCTGAGCCACCCAGTACCATCCAGGAGAGAAGGGCAGCCTGCTAGGGATTTTGCTTAGCCAGAAGTGCTCTGCTTAAGGTTAGAATCTATGGTTTTCATTTTTGGAGCTATAAAAACAGAATGCAAATCAACAGCCTCTGGGCTAATACAGAACCTTAAAGTTTTTGTCTTGTTAAGCAAGGAAATAGAGTGCCAAATAGGCTTTGTTAAGTGGCAGTCTAATTAATAATTTAAAATCTTGTAGCTGTCTTTCATTAGAATTTATCTGTACATCAACCACAAAACCAGTCAAACACACTCATTTATAAGTTAACGTCATCCCTGAATAATTCAGCAAGAGCTAGATTAAGTCCTGCAACCCAGTAAGATTCATTCTGTCCTTTTGGTTTCCATAGCCAGATGGGCTGGCCCAGTGGCTAGATTGGGTCTCCTTTGTGGGAAGAAGGGAAGGCACAGGGAGGATGGGACCATGGGGTTGTCAGATGCTTGGTTGATTTGAATCCAGAGGTTCCTTAGATGATCAGAGCATCTCCATGTGATCATGTGTGAACAGGCTCCATCTCTTGGAGCCATTGGTTATACGGCCCACTTTAGTCCTAGTGGAGAGGGGAAGAGAGGAGTGTTTCAGGGGCAGCCAAGACACACTTCTTTCTGCAGCAGAGGAAGTGTAGAGGGGACACACAAGAACCCTGCTTGAGAGGGTTGAGATATGAGGCTTCTTAGCCCAAATCCAGGTGCAGAAGTGGAATTTCAGTCTTCCCAGACCAATTCTGTCCCACTCAAAGGATGCAGCCTAGTGAAACCAATGTCACCAAAACAGCTTCTTTAATTGGGAGTTTCTGGGCTGCTTCCTCCCTCAGAGCTCCTGGTCCTTATGCCAGAAAAGAGAAGCCAAGAGGAGGAATTTTGGGGGAGCAACAGGGCACCTCAAGGGAAAGGAGAGGCAGAGTGAGTTGCTAACTAATGTCCATGCATGCGTTTTCTTACCAGTCACCAGAATAAAGGAAAGCAGGGCAGTGTTCCATTTGTGAGCCCAGACAATGTAGAAAGTGTGTTTCAGTTCGGTTCCTGTCATGCCAACACCTCACTGCAGTTCACGGGCCCATTTTCTACATAGAAACTGTTCAGGACCCAGATTCCCAGCATGGGTACACTGGTTTCCCCCTCTACAGGAATGAACCCCAGGGTTTCTGGTCTCTGTCTCAGGCTGCTAACCCTGAGCCCTCTGGAAGATTAAACGGCTCTGTGTATGGAGACCAGGCAGATACCTGGAGCAGACAGTGGACTTGATGCCAGGAGAGGTTCTTGGACAAGTTTGAAAACAGGAAGTCTTGTTAGGAAAGGGAAAAGGCAAGGGAAAGGGTAGGTGTTTGCCCTCAGGCCTATGGCAGATTGACAGCAGATGGGACCAAGGAGGGAGGCTTGTGGGGTGACTCCAACTCGAAGCTTTGGAGTCAGGGGCAGCCTGAAAGGGGACAGAGTAGAAGTTCACTGGCTGGAATGAGGAGGAGGCAGACATCCTGAAGGATGTCAAGAACGGCTCTGTTTGGTACCATCTGCAGCAAAGTAGTGGTTAAGGTTAAAGCAGAGAGGAGATGACAGGGAGGGAACAGATGGCCGAGGAAGCAAAATAGCTGGCGAAACAGGAACAGAGCCTCCAGGGACAGCAGAAGGCAGGACCTCCGCACAAATGCCGGAAGCAGCCCTTTCTTCAGGGTGTGCTGGCCAGACCACCCTGGGGAGAAGTTAGAGGAGTGAGGTGGGGAACTCAGGGTGAGGGCTCCTTGGAGCTGGCTAGGGGGCCTAGGAGCACAGACCTCCTTAGATGTCATTGACCAGGGAGAGGAGGCACAGCTGACTTGGTGTCCATCACTAGAGCGAGGCAAAGCCACCTTGGGACTTACGGAGCCTGCCTGGCCGAGCCTGCTGGGAGGAGGTATGGATGCTAGCTGGACACAGGGGCAGCAGGGACTGGACTCTTCTTATTGACCTGCCTTGGATCCGCTTATGACAGTCCCCGCCCACATGCCGACAATAACTGCTTATAATTACTGACGGGCCAAGTTAAGTGTACTTTACGCCTTATCTTGTGTCATCTCCACAGTTACCCTTCAAGATCAGTCTGTGCTTGTCCCTGCTATACAGATAAGGAAACTAAGGCACAGACAGATGAAGCCCCCTGCTCTGGGTCACTCAGCTAGCACCTCATTGACTCAGAATGTAATCCCAGATCTGTCTGCTACCACACTCTTTCCCTTGCGCTCTCAGCCTCTAAGCTCTACTGTTTCACATGCCCATCTGCCTTGATTTATGTGACATTTG